GGGGGTGGACAATAGAGCTCTATTGAGTCAGATAATTTTATGTTCATGTATATCTATGCATATTTTACCTCACTATAAGAGAATTTAACTAGCAAGAAACGTGCCTACTTTGTAAGCCAATTTACAACTTTCCCATACATAATCATACCTCTAATGGTTTGAGTAATTTAGTTATATAATGTATTGTTCTATTGTATTTTCACTTCAGAATCTTGAGTTGTTTTAATGGGCCTGTGAGTCGCAAGTGCTTGCCTTAACATACCGACATGTTAAATAGTTAGAAACAAAGTTAATGAATTTTTTTTCCCTTTATTCTTTACCAACCAATCAAAATATGTTTCTTTTATAGTCATGGTGCATCTTATAGACCTGAGATATACAGTGTATTTAGAGTTGTGAGCTCCATCACGAATAACTTGTCTCAATCCATATATGTTTGCTACACATAATTAATTACCTAGTCGGAGAATACCCTCACTATTAACAGTCATATCCTTGCTTTTACCAGCTAGAAACTAATCTAAGTAATTAAACAATCGTCATCCTCGTATTGGCTAGCCTTTATACACTCTACATCGGGCTTGACCAACAACCAATAATGTCTTTGAATTTTTTTTTTTTCACATTGAATCTAATACGTGTACCCTCTAGTCTATGCATATCTTCGTCGAGAAGTATCTCTACAGGAGCTATATGCGCCAAATTAGCCATAGTTTTTTTTTTTTGCATAAGCTATAATATTTATCTTTCCCGAACAATACAAAACAGTACAATTATATCTTCAGTAGTTCCCTCCATCAGCATTGCTAAATATTTATATCTCCGTTAGTTTTAAATGTACTTCAGGCTCTTGTGCTAGGTATAAATCTCATAGGTTTCTTCATATAAATAGTGTCTCTAAATCTTAAAAGGAAATACCACTATGACCATCTCCAAATCATGAATGGCATAATACGACTTGAGATTCTTCAATTTCCTTAGAGCATAGGCTATCACGCGACTATTTTGCATGAGAAAATATCCTAATCCTACCCTCGAAGTATCACATAACATCGTGAATCCTCTAGAGTCTATTGGAATAAGGCAAACATTAGTATAATTGTCAAACATGCTTTCTCGTTGTACATTTTTCCATCCACTGAAATTTAGCGATTTTCTATGTTAACTTGGTGAGTGGTGGTGCTATTCTAGAGAAATCCTACACAAATGCCTATAGTAGCCTGTCAAGCCAAAAGTAATCTCTGTAGGAGAAATGGGTCTCGGTCATTTATGAATTATTTCTATCTTCTTAGAATCTACCATTTTTCATTCTTAGATGCCATGTGTCCTATGAATACCATCGAGTCCAGCTAATTGAAGAACTTGGAAAAAAAGGTTGATTTTCCTACAGTGTCTTTGATATATTTTTCAAGTAATTCTCATGCTCTTCCCGGGTATGAGAATATACCAGAATATAGTAAGTAAAAACTATGAATTTTTTTTTTCAAAAATAACTTTGAACACAATATTTATTATATACATCAATGCAATTGGAGATTGGCCAATCTAAAGGACATCACAGGTAACTCATAATATTTGTACCGAATACTAGAGGCAACATCGAAATATCTTCCTTTATTATTCTAAGCTGATGATAACCAGACTAGAGATCAATGGCTCCTTGTAACTGATCAAACAAGTTATCTATACAAGACAAAGGATATTTGTTGTGTATTGTTATCTTATTTAATTATTTGTAGTTGGCCCTCATTCTTAAAGACTTATCCCTTTTTTCTAAACAATATTGGTGTACCCCATGGTGCAATATTCGGTATGATAAAACTTGTATCCAGTAGGTCTCTCAATTATTCAATTAGCTCTCTCAACTCTGTTGGTGCCATATGATATAGTTTGCGTGTTAGGTGTCAGCTCAATAACGAAGTCTATTTATCATATTGGAGGTAGTCCTAGTAAATCCTTAGGAATACATTAGAGAATCTCTCATTATGATACCTTTTTTTTTTTCAAACTAAGTGTTTCTTCTCTTGTGCCCCTTACCGTATCTTTGAAACCCAAACAACCTTTCTTCTATAACCGTTAAGTCTTCAAAATATATAATTTGCTCGTCTCTAAAACCTATAATCCTTTTTTTTGGACAAAACTAGCTTTTAAAGTTCACCAAACCTAGTAGTCTTTCCATAGTAATCGAGGGTAGCATGGTAAAAAGATAATTAATTCATATTCATCTGTACGTTAGAGTCAACCATATCAAGTACAACTTGGTTAGCTAGGGTTTATTTCTCTTAACTTGAATTTTAAAAGTTTAAATCAATCAACCGTTATGTTTATATGGTTAATGCAAATTTATCTTTTAACCTTTGTTATAAGTTGGCACAAATAATGAATTTTTATTTCTATTTGGTGCAAAAATTAAAGCACAACAACTTGTGCACACACGTCATTAAGTTTATGTGAATTTCATTTGGATTACATAAATAGTGATCTCTAATGGTCAAAACTCTTTTTGATTGTCAATTAATATTCCTTAAATTATATCATCACAACTTTCTCTTTCTCATTTTCAAGACACAATTGATTGATTTTCATTAATATCATTTTTATCATAGACTATTCCCAGCCTAAAGACATGGTTAATGATTCAAACATGCAAGGCAATTAATGATCCATTTCAACACTGACAATTCTCACAATGATAAATAAAGATTCCTGCCATAATAACATGTAGGAGTAGTAAATCTTTTAATGTTACTCTACTTTAACTTTTGTGTATAACAAAAATCAGTAAGATTCTCCTCTTTTTCTATTTCATTAACTTGCGAGCTCGCTAATTGAAACATCATCGTGTGCTTTATTGATCACTTTTGTAATAAGGCGTTTAAGAAAAATCAAATTATAAAAGAATTAAGAGAATGACCTGGTGGAAATAAAATGGAAGTAAATTGTTTTAGAAAATCCATTGCTATACCAGATAGAAATTACTAGCTGAATTTCCCTTCAATTTTTTACAGAAAAATTAATTTACTATCATAGCTTGTTCAATTTGCACATGCTTCCGTCCAGGTAATGGAAATGCACAAATTATTCTCTTTCTCTTCAAAATAACAGAAGAATTAAGAGAAGTTTAAATATAAGATTAATTCACTTTCTTAAAGATTTAATATAGATATTTTTTTTAGGTTGGGTTGCTCTAGCGGTGAGCACCCTTCACTTCCAACCAAGAGGTTGTGAGTTCGAGTCACCCCAAGAGCAAGGTGGGGAGTTCTTGGAGGGAGGGAGCCGATGGTCTATAGGAAACAACATCTCTACCCCAAGGTAGGGGTAAAGTCTACGTACGTACTACCCTCCCCAAACCAGGGGCGGATGTAGCATATACTCCGCGGGTTCAACTGAACCCATAACTTTTGACGCGGAGTAAAAATTTGTATGTTAAAAATTATTAAAATTACAAAAATAATAGGGATGAACCCATAACTTTAAAAATATAATGGGTTCAACGCTAAAAATTTTAAAAGTTGAACCCATAGGGTTTAAATCTTGGATCCGCCTCTACCCCAGACCCCACTAGTAGGATTATATTGGGTTGTTGTTGTTGTTGTTTAAATATTCTACTACTATATAAGGATCAAAAATACTCCTAAGCCTTCCTCCATTTCAATGTTTTTTTGGTTTGTAAAAAAAAAAAACAGGTAAAAATAAGGGCGCTTGTCGGACGGTTTTATTGGATACTTACTTTTAACGATTTAGCTTATTTGTTACGAATTTTTAAATGTACTAAATCGCTAACCGAATCAATTGGTTTGATATCAACAATTCGATATTAATATTTTAGCGGACATCAACCAGTTATCGATCAGTATTTAAGTAAATTAAGCTAAAACCAACACAATAAATCCCATTAGTTAGAAATGCATTGTAGAACAATCAAGAAACGAGAGAAATTTAGGGGGGCAAATTTTAGTTGTTAGATTGACTACAGTACTTTTAATAATAAGGAAAAAAAAAGATGTACTCAGTACTTTTGACTAATAAGGAAAAAATAAATAAAAAATCGACTGTTGACCAGAATCAAGTTAAAGGAGTGGAAGATATGATGACACTTCTTTTTGACACAGGGGGAGTTGCAGGGTACAATTATTACAGTTTGACACTCTGCACCTGCCAATACGTGGGGGTTTTTGTGTCATTTCCTCGTATATCTTTCTCCGTCCCCCGAATCCTAATCTCACTCCTCATCAACCAGCTACACTATCATCCCGCATATTTTCACACACACACACACTGAATTGAACCAACGCTCCAAAAACTTGTACACCATTCGCAACAGTTACCTGGTATCTTCTAAAGGCATGTTCTAAATTTCTCTCTCTCTTTCTGTTTTTTTTTTGCTTCAATTCTTTAATCTGGTTGTTTCTTGGATTAGTTTCTGATTCAAGGTGGATCTTGATTCCAAAAGTTGTTAAGAGTATTAAAGTAATTCTGTGTAAAACTTGTGGAATTTTTGTTCTGAATTTGAGCTTGTCTGATTATTTTATTTGTTTTCTTCATTTCAATTAGTGTGGTATGATCAAATGCGGATCTTTTATTCTTAAAAGTTTTATATATTCTTACGTGGTTTTTTTAAATTTAATTGTGATCTTTTCTTTTGTTAACGTAACGATTTAATCTTCTTGTTAACATAAAGATTCAAAACCAGGCTGTCAATTGAACTTTAGAGGCAAACATAAGTACATTTGATTTTCAGGGCTAAGTTTTTTTCTAATCAGTGGTTTTCTAAGGTTAGTTTTTTTAAGAATGAAATTTTGTACACAGATTTAGTTTTGTATACAGTTTTTATTTATTTTTGGGCTATCTTTTGTTTTTTGATATTTCAAATAAAACAGAATGGGTTTCCAGTTCATGGGATAGAACTCTGCTTGAAATGGTTTTATGGAATGCAAGTGAAAGAGATACCTTGTGGAATTAGTCGAGGTACACACAAGCTAGCCTGAACACCACGCTTATGAAAAAGAATGCAAGTGAAAGAAAAAGAGAATTTTATGTGCAGAGTGTTAGGTTCATTTCCATGTTTGCTTTGAATTTACTAATCTGCTTCTAGGTTTCTAGTTCTTCATTTACATCTATAGAGCCAAGGGTATTTTGGTGATACTGCGTCTTGCAGCAATTCTTCAGAGAATTTCTTAATAGGTCTTTAGGGATGTCATTTACCATATGTTTGGGTCTTCAAATTTTTGGGAAAAGGAGGTTAAGAGAAAAGCGTAACTACATCTCAAATTTCCTCACTTTATCTGGAAGGCAATTGAAAAATCTGCGGAAATTGGCTTGTATGGATATGCTGTATAAGGTAGGGGAAATGGATCAGCTTGATATGGTGAATAAGCATACTTGGTGATCTGTCAATTAATCCCATTGTTGAATGAATACCCTATTCTATTATAGGTATCAATTTTGCATGAGCATGCCACAGATTTGAATGTTGCTTTTCTTGAACCTATCTCTTCCAACATGATGAAAGAAAGAAGCCAGTGTTAGGTTAGATAGAAAGCTTTGGCCACTTTACCAGGAGCTGCTGGTTTGTATTTCTGATTACAACTGCCACTTCCATTTTAATTACCACCATCAAACCCTCTCCATGACATATCTCTTGCCTTATTTGACTAAACAACTCCATATCTTGGAGGTCACTGATCTGTCCTTATATGATAAATGTTGGGATCACTGACCAAGTTGAGTAAGAGATCGCTTTAGTTGATTTTGAGGGAGGGATGGAGGGAGATGGTGAATAGCGATGCTGGGTTTAAGAGGATGGTAAGGTGAGTGCCAATATTCTCTATCATGTTTTCCCACTTTTCCTTCGGATCGATTTGCTATAATGTAGTTGGAAACTTCACTTACACTCTTCAACTTTTTTCTCTTATGATTTTCCAGAGCATTCAAACACACACAAAAATAATGTTTCCTAGAAATTGCCTTCCCCCTTAAATGAATGCTCTATGGTACGCTTCAAGTTTTTGTGTTCTCTTTGGAGTATTAGTGTCTCAGAAATCAAGAACTTGGTAGTTGAGATGTACGATTTTATTTGGAAAAAGTATTTGTTGAAGCATTTCTTGTTTCATTGGTGCATTTTGCAACTCACTAACTGGAATTCCTAGACCTTTTCTTCCTCTTAATAGCTGTCAGCGGGCTGGCAAAGAACCTTCTGTTTACTTGTTTCCTTCTTGATTCTGCAATTTATTGCTGGTCCTTTGGCTACTTCAAAGCCTTTGTTATCCTTGGGGATTTGTTCCACAATTCAGCTAGATACCAGCAGAAAAGGAGTCCCACATTTGCTGCATCTTTGCTGCCTATTATAGTCCTGAGATCTCCTCTCTTGTCCTATATCAAAAGCCTATGATAAAAGCACCTTACTGGCTCATAAGCTTGTGATTGAAGCCATTTGAGAAAGGCAGTCTTACTGTTCACATCTTTTTAGGCCGTGGAACAGCTTTCTATCTTCTTCTTTATGCTTGAATTAGCCCCCATCCTTTCCCTTCAATCACAAGTACTGCTGTATTTGGGCATACAAGAGTGATAAATTACTATCATTGATCAAACTCAAAGGCTCAATATAAGCTTGTGGCTGACATCAATTTAAGTTATAAAAGGCCAGGGAGTGTAGAGAGTTTGCCTATGACTTGTCAGCTGGTATTTTCTTAAGTAATATCACTTTTCCTTAATTGATTGTTTATACGTCAATTGATACTGCATTATTCATTTGAGCAACTTGAATTATGGTGAGAACTCTACTTTGTTATGAGAAGAAGTCACGAACTACAGAGAAATACCGTTTCATTCTAGCTCCTTTCTTCTCCATTCTTTAAGCTCCTTCTGGGATGAATATTCTTCATCCTGATATATTTATTCTTTATACTCCCAATTTTCCAATTTATATGACCTTTTCTATTTTAGGACATTTCAAAATGTTCGAAACCATTCTATTAAGATAAAATTATCACATGTTTTAAAAATTTTAATGTATTAAATTATTCTCTTTAACATAAAAATACTAGTGTTTTTTCCAGCACTATATTTGTTTTGTTGGAATAGGATTGAAGATCCATGGTTTTTACTTGCTAGTTTAGCTTTCAATTTAGAATTTATTCGTATATGGATAGGGTGCCTCCTAGCAAACCATCATTGGTTCTGTTATCGAGGACTTGTTATTAATATTTCCTTTGTTGCAATTTATTTGACACTCTTTGTTTCAGGATGTCACAAAATATTTGATACTATTTCTCTACCTAGTATTTGTTATTGTAATGATCCATCATAAATTAACTAGTCTTACATTGATCATATACTCCTTTATTAAGGTTTGATCAGCAAGTTGGTTCATATGTCTAGCTCAATTTCCAGGAGAATAGAGACGTAACACAGAATTAAAATCATATAGTTGAGATGGAGAAGTGTCACATGAGTTATGCGATAAGGAGATACCTACCAGAGTGAAAGGCAAGGTTATAGGTAGTTGTGAGACCAACAATGATATATTGGAGTGGGTGTTGGGTTTCTGAGGTTTGACATATTCATAGGATGAGTGTCAAAAAAATACAAGTCTTATGATAGATGTGCCATGTGCGGTTATACAAAAATAAATAAGATAAGAAATGGTTATGTCTGACAGAAGGTACAAATAGCACACATAGAGGATAAAACGAAAAAAGGTCCCCTATGATTGTTCGGTCATGTCTCGACGTTCAAATGAAACGGTTTGTAAGTGTGACTCTAGGATGGTTGAAGGTGTTAAAAGGATGAGGTAAGTCTAAAATTACATGGACGGAAGTTGTCTCAAAGAACTTACAATCTCTCGAAATCCATGCGAAATTGGCAAATTACAAAATAATGGAAGCGAAAGATCCATATAGGTAATTCTGACCAGTTAGGATTAAGGTTTAGTTATGTCGTGACACTTGCATTAAGTACGTTGTTTGCCAGGAGTCTTTTTTATTCAATGGTGATTTGTTTTTCAGTAGAAAATGTAGAAAACCTTTATTCATAGAGAATCCTTAGAACCCTCAGGGGTTGGCCTGGTGGCAATTGACTTGAGCCTTGGGGTTTGCTCCCTTTCAAGGTCTCAAGTTCGAAACCCACTGGGTGCAAATAATTTCTGAGGGCCATCGGACTAGATAAAACCTGAATTAACCGTGGTGCACTTGCGGGAAACTCCTTGCCGAGGGCCTGTGCACCCCCGGGATTAGTCGAGTCTCTCCCGGTGCAAAATCAAAAAAAAATAGAGAATCCTTAGTTTGTCTCAAGTATTTGAATGAAACTGCTTCAACGGGAGCATAATGGATAGTGGATATTCATATAGCTGACCCCAACTAGCTTAGGATTGAAGCATAATCGTTGTTAATTAGTATTGGAAATTTGTGGCCCGAGTAGAGTTGAATGGTTGCAAAGGAACCATATTGCTATCTCCAAATTTTTGAGATTTAAGGCATAGTTGTTATTGTTTTCTTACTAGTATTATCTTATATAACTTTGTCAAGTTTTGTGAATTGATTTAACTAATAATATTCAAACGTTGATATTGTTTTTTTTTTTCCTCAACTAACTTTTTAACTATTACTTTTATATTTTTTTAATTACCCCTTGTTAAATACACAAATCAAATAAACATCTTTATTTCTGCCCCCAATCACATAGAATAGCATGGATAGAGGTAATATGTTTTGTTATCCTCTTCTATTTGATTCCTGGAAACTATGTAAGCCCTGATTGCCCCCAGTTCTCTTCGTTCTTGTCTTGTTCTTCAAAGCTTATAACAAGTCTCCAGCTTTTCCATCCTAATGCTAATGGACATGGAATTTTCCTCTCTAGGGAATTTTATGTGCGAATTGATGTTACTGCATCTCCTTTTTTCTCAAAAGAAATTGATGTTAGGTCTTTTATGTATCATTTTGCGTTCCGTAATAATTCTCTTTATCTGAAATGTGATGCTCCAATCAGCTATGCCCGCACGAACTTATTACTATTTTGTTATCTATAACCAACTCAAGTTTCGGTTCAGATTTTCCTAGTTTCTTCAATTTCGGGAATCCCAGTACTCCCTTAGACATTTCTCTACTTTCTTTTAACGCTCAACTTTTCTGCTTCATGGTCTGATTACTTTCAAAAGAAAACAAAATGAACAATCAGCAACATCAAACTGACTTCAGGAATTCAGATATTCATCATGGTTGATAATGACACTTGAGAAGTAATGATTTTTTTAATACAGGTGTTTTCATGCCGTAAAACATAGGACATTGAAGCTTTTGTGATGGAAGAAGGAGATTCTGCTGTAAGGAGATGGGAGGACCTTGATAACGATATCTTGGTGAAGATATTGCAGTCCTTTGACCTGTTTGAGTTGACTTCTGGACTTGCTCAAGTTTGTAGTTCGTGGCGATTAGCTTGCTCTGATCAACTTCTCTGGAAAACGCTGGACTTGTCTGTAATAAAATCAAATTTCATCAAAATCCCGTTAGAGCCGTACGTATATGTGGACTGTCAGTCTGATAAAACATTAACCCGCCTCCTGAGGATTGCTTTGAACCTCAGTCGTGGAAACATACTAACGTTAATCTTCCATTACAATCTGTATGTCAGCGACGATCAGTTGACTTATACTGCCGAGAGGTATTCCCCGATAAACCTTCATCTTTCCTTAGTTCTATAATTTTAATTAGAAAACCATACATCAATCATTCCAGAGTTCAGGCAGCATCATATATCTCAGATGTCCAATGATTTGCCATTATTTTAATTCAGGAGAAGCAAAGTTTACAGTGAGAATGAAGAAGACAGTTAATCAAATCTCCTCTTTTTCAGGTGTCCGCGGCTTAAACGTCTTGTTATGCCAGCTTGGAACAGAATAAAAAAGACAGGAATATGCAGGGCTATTCGTATATGGGAAGATCTTGAATCACTGACGATGCCTAGCATAGCAAATCCACCATACGTCATGGAGGAAATTGCAAGGAATTGCAAAAATTTTGCTGAGCTCAAGATTATGGGGCCATGTGATATTCTCTTTGCATCTACACTGGTAGCATTTCTTCCAAACTTGAAAGTGCTGAGTGTGCGGTGCACAGTGCTATCTAAAGGCGCCTTAGTTATTATCTTGGAGGGCTTAAAAAAGTTGGAAGTGCTCAATATATCTCATTGCCTGATCACTGAAGTCCCTCCATCTTCACCTAAAAGAGTTCTGACCAAGCTTGACGAATCAATTCTTGAAAAAGCCTCTAGATTACGCAAATTCCTAACTTGCATGAGTGATTCTTGCATCATGTGTCAGCGCACTCGAAATGATGAAGGGCTGATGAGGTGGTATAAATATGAAGAAGACCTCTGGAAAGTGGATGAGGTGAGATCTCTTGCAATTTAACAACTTTTAAGGATATATTGCTTTTCATAAGTTATATACCTTGTTAAAGGTCCAGTGAATGTTGTAAACTTGTGTATATGAAGCAAAATAAAACCTTTGTCATTGTTAATGGAAGTGAATCAGCTTCCGGTTGCTAGCCGCAGGTGGAGAGTAGCTTTGTAGTATAGGAGACATATAAAACTGTATCATCATGCACATGGGAGAGTAATGTTACTTTCTTGTTGTAATTTTGTAACATTAGTGTATTTTCTTCGGCAGGATTGTTTTCCTGTTCTATCACATTTCTTTGTGTTTCTATAATTTTCTCTTTTGTGGTACGTGCATGCGTTTTGTTTCTGCGTTTTCAAACAAGAAAAGAAGTCTATGATCCTCTCTAGGTTATGGCTGATCTTTAAGGAAGCTCATTAAAGGTGCAACATTTTTACGTACAAACTAGAGATATATTTTTACGAATATTTTAAAAGATATTTTTATCATATTGACATGAGAATAACTCGTAAGCTATAATACTTTTCGTATATTTTTGGACTATTTAAATTTTAGTTTTAAAATATGAATTGATCTAATTTACAACTAATTTGAGATGGATGAAGTATAGCTTACCTACTTTGGCGGCTGTCCTCTTGCTCTTTATCGTTGCTATATATATATATACCTAAATGGACAAATAATAATAGCTGCAAATTACACGATAACTAATGGTTAGGCAATTATTTTGGTAAGCCCGACCAATTTTTCAACTTTCATGCCACAAGATATCGACGTTGTTAACAAAGTTGGTAAGAATTGAATTGCATTCTCTACCTAACGTCTACTAAATACCTCTGGAATGACCCTTCTCTCCTCAGGATAAATGATCTACCTGCACGTTTTGTTTTTCCTTGTTGTTATTTTCTTTCGAATCCCCCTCCCACCCAAATTTAGTTGTTACCATCTTTTCCTAAGTTCTACAAAAGACATCAAACTGTCCGCGAAATAATCCAAAATTTTATTACGAATTTTAGAAAACGACTAAAAAAACTTAAGACTTCATGAAATTCAATTATTTCTCCTACGTCATTTTTTTCTCAAATTTATCCATTTAAAAGGGAAAAAATGATGCACAACCATTAAAAACAACATGTGCATTATTTTCATGGAAAAAGAAATACACTATAGTATTTTTTTTAATACTTGGCTTTTTACACGACGGCATAATATAATTCCCTCAAGAAAAAAAAGGATGATTTGACTATTATACCATCCACGAAGATGGAATCTTGACATCTCCAAAAATAAAACAAAATAATAAACTGTAGTACTCAAATTTGTGCACTAACATCTTTTAATTAAAACAAAACATTTTTTAATTCATCTACATACAAGTAGTTGGAAACTAAAAGGGGCAAGTACTATATATAGTCAAAGTCCAAAATGAACAACTCCACTGATCTTGGTCCGGCACAGCACAAGAAAATTATCACTATAAACAATCCTGATTGATTAGTTACAAATAAAGAAACCTCTTTGTTTCTCTCACCCTACAGTAGAATCAGATAAATTGTTTTTCCTGTCCAAAAATATGGCCCTAGAGTTATGGGAAACATTGAAAGACTCCATCACAGCTTACACAGGTCTCTCTCCTACAACATTTTTTACTGTGGTTGCTCTAGCACTTGCTTTTTACTATGTTGTCTCGGAATTGTTTGGTTCAACTGATCATGGTCACCAGCAGAGGTCTAGAAATTTTGAGGAACAGGTGCAGCCTCTGCCGCCCCCAGTTCAGCTTGGAGAGATTAGTGAAAAGGAGTTGAAGGAGTATGATGGGTCTGATTCAAAGAAGCCTTTGTTGATGGCAATTAAGGGTCAGATCTATGATGTTTCTCAGAGCAGGTAATTTTATCTTGCTTTATAAGTTTTCTAAGCTATTCGATGTTATTTGAAGCTTTGACTTTGAATTTTAGAATTATTGGCTTTTTGTTGTGGAATTTTTCGTGCTTGTTTGTTCTTTTTGCTGTTTTTTATTGGTGATTGTGGAAAGTTTTAAGCTTTATGTGAAAGTTGGGAAATTTTTGGTTGAGAAAAAAAGAGTTAGTGATCCTAGAATCAATCTCTCTTTCTGTTTTCTTTGAACTGCTTTATGCTTATTTATTTGCTGGGAAAAGTTCTAATTTTGCTGAAATTATCAGACTCAAAAATTTGATATTTACACGGCGTAGTGTTTCGGCTTGGGAATTGGTGGAATACGGAACTAGTAGGGAGTTAGTGTGTAGGTGACACGATCAGTAGCACCCAAGGGTGTGATATAGCTTCAATAAAATGGGTGAAGATAGGGTTCAAACCCAGTAAAGAATAATATACTCCCATTTAGTTGTAAAGATAAGGTTCTACACGCCCATTAAAAAAAATTAATAAGAAGAATAATTTGACTAATCTATCCCTTATTAATTCTTTAATCTTTATCTATATACGTGCTTCTTAATTCTGGAACAATTAGTGCTGAGGGTGCAGTTGGGAAAAGATAATTAATTCTCTCTTGATTTTCTAAAATAACAAGTATTTGGGAACAACTATTTTTAGTATACATGACAACAAAATGGGAACGGAGGGAGTACTAGCCACTTTTTCTATATGCCTAAACAAATTGATAGGCAGAGTTATCCAGTGCTGGGGTAATCGGTCTCTGGTGGAATAGTATATACGTGCATACTGGGCCGCGAACTACTGTTATTAAAAGAAACTATCAATATATTTTCTCTTTAGTGTATAGGTGCGACAATTGAACAAATACTCTAGTAAAAAGTTCCTTCTGCAAGGATTATCCAACGGCTGATTAAGTATGTCAGTCTGCCAGCCAGGTAGCCATTAGGATCAAGGCCTAATACAATGGCAAAGCTTAGACTGCAAGGATTTAAAGCAGTCTTGACTTGTTTGTGATTCTTTCATTCCTTGTTGGAACACTGTGACTTTTACTTGATTCTCAGTAGATTGACTTATATTTTCCAGTTTTAATTCAAGCAGTTAGAAAAATCATGTGTCATCTTTTGGATTGGAATCAAGCAAGCTCTTTTCTTTTTCTTTTGAACACGTATATTTACTTTGTTATGTTTGGTGAGCTTGGTTCGTCTCCGTGAAGCAGTTCATCGGTACTTCAATAAATCTTGGATCTGGACATTTAGTAATAACTAGTCCTTGTTTCAGCATAAACATGATATTGAACACTGAATGTGCATTATATTGAACCAGGACTATGTCCTTAAGTGATCAAATACCTTGAGTTGAGTTTGAATAAGTAGCTAACCTCACAAATGTATGCCTGAGTATCTTGATAAACGTTAATCATTTCAGTTAACTGCTAAAGGTCTATCGTTTGTTTCAGTATCTCTCTTAATTGCTCTAAGCTACCACTACATATTCGTATCTAAGTCTGTTCACTGTGTCCTGCAGAATGTTCTATGGACCTGGAGGACCTTATGCATTGTTTGCTGGAAAGGATGCTAGTAGAGCTCTCGCCAAGATGTCCTTTGAGGAAAAAGATCTCACCGGCGATATCTCTGGCCTTGGCCCATTTGAGCTTGAAGCCTTGCAAGATTGGGAGTATAAATTCATGAGCAAGTATGTCAAAGTTGGGACTGTCAAGCAGACAGTGCCAGTAAGTGACGGTGCAGCTAATGGTGAATCTGTTGAATCAACTGATCGCGAAGCTAAGCCAGCAGAAGGTGTTGTAGCAGAGAGCACAAAGCCAGCAGAAGGTGTTGTAGCAGAGAGCACAAAGCCAGCAGAAGGTGTTGTAGCAGAGAGCACAAAGCCAGCAGAAGATGGTCCATCCGAAAGTGTTGCTGAAACTATGGACAAGTTTGATGGTGATGCTGAAAAGAAGGATTAATTGGCACCCCATTTTTATCAAGTAACAAGCTGAGCACTATGGGAAACAGTTTTTTGTGGAGATCCAAAAAAAAGGCATTGAAAAGATGTGTATATTATCTCGTGTCAGACGATTGTTGTTGATTCTAGAACATATACTCCTTAGTCAAGTTACTTTAAGTCTATGATTTGGTGTATGAAATAATAAAACAAGCATTTTAATGTATCAATGGAGCTCATACTAGACGACCATTCGCTAATATAATGTTCACCTGTATGTCTGCAAGTGGTAGCAATTCCCTTTTATCTCGTGTCAAGTGCATCTCTTCTTGTGGTAGCCACTTCTGAAACCATCACACCCTTCCCCCCTTTTTGTTGTTTTTGAAGCATTCCCCTCATTTGGCAGTAAAAAGAAGGGAATTTTGGCAGTAGTATCAGTATCAAGAATATTTATCTCTAAGTCCAATTGAAGGAGACGTTAAATATAGTAATAAAATTTCTACTGTGGTTGTCTGCGTATGAAGCTTTGATCAACTTTTGTTAACGCAATACTGCTTATATGGCCCGTGGAAGTGCCAGTGCGGGTAGCTTTTGTTTACCTGGGATAGGACCACATCTTTGGGATTCCTATGTAATAACACCACCAACATATTCCATTTCTAACTCTCCCTCACTGAATAGCCAGCTTCATTATATACTACTATGAATTGGACAGTGTACTTCTGCACTCAAGGTGTCACACACCTAGTCAATAAAATGGGTGAGAACCATGGGAGAGCAAGGTTTAAATCCCAAGCGAGACAAAAAAATGTGATTTTTTTCAATTTGCCTAAGTTTTGGTAGACAGAGTTATCGCGTTGGTGGGAGGGGGAGTACCAGTCAATAGGACGCGCAAATTGTGCCAAACATAGCAATTGATGATGGCGGTGCTAAGATGTATTTTACTTAATATTTACAAGTGGCCGTTCGGCAGTTCTTCCAAGCTGCAATGTTTGTCTGAGAGAGATCCTCGACCAAATTGGACAAGTGGAGCTAAAAAAGATTCTATATTTAAGCAGTACAATGAACTGTTTGTACACAATTATCCCCACGTTATTGGCCTCCAGATGAATATTATATCAAAATTAATGGACGAAGGGGAAGATATATAACACGAGTAACTGTCATTCTGAAGTCTAAATCAAAGTTTCATTTGATTGATTCACTACTTTGGCTGTATCTAGCTCTGGAAACGTGGCCTGATCTTTTATAAATAGACTTCAATCACCTTTGTACAAATACATACAAAACAGCCTGAATAGGCATGTCTCCTCTCCTATATCTTCATCAAAAACATCTCACTTGTACTTAAAACATGAAACCTCCCACTTCATTATTTCTACTCCTGAATTTCATTTTGGTTCTAGTAGCATTCCATCACACAGATTTCAGGCTAATTAGCAGTGCTGGTATTGCCGAAGCAAATGAAAGAAAGATTAAAGCTATATCTTCTGCGCCTTTATTACGCCGTTTAAGTGCAGCTTATCAGTCTGAAAAGCCAACCAGCAGCAAGAAGTTTGCTCCATTTCATGGTGGTGCAGAACATGTTGTACCTGGAGGACCAGATCCTCTTCACAACTGATGATTTATATACATACTTCTCTATCATTTTACAATAAAAAGATTTTACTCCTATCAGGCCATTACAGAGAATATTACAGTTCTTTTAGCATTGAAGTACTGTACTTATCCAATTGTATCATTAGTTAAATTAGCTTGTTTGCTAGCTATAGCTTATTAGAACTTGTATACTAGGAATCTTGGAGTAGGATAAGGCCAAAGGGTGGGTCTCTGTGGCAGTTGAAGGATTTCATATTTTTTAGCTATTAACTAATTTTAATTCAAATGTTGACTTCAATAAATTAAGAAGATGATTTTATATATGGAGTTATAAGCATTAGCATAATCCCAAGTCATTATCTTGCCATTGTCACAGTTCATAACATTGGACTAATACAGATGAATGAGAACACAAGTAAGCCTAGCTAGTGCCAACGTTGATGGGATAATCCTAGAGTTGTTTAGTTTGTGAACAAGTTATACTGGGATTATAACGTGGGAATTATAATATAAGGATTAAATAATGAAAAAAATTATATAGTGGATAATAAATTTGGTTCTTTGAATTAAAATGAAATAAGTGTTTTAGTGAATTCCCACTCGTTTATATGGGGTATAACACAAAACTGACTACAATCAGACAAATAAGTCATCTCTAATTAAGTGTAGTTTTGGTCTGGTTTTTATTTTTGATACTTGTAATAGATCAGAAATAATGAAATAATATGATACAAAATCACTAAGGTAAGGGGACCCAATATAAGGTCAAAATCTTGATACAACATGAGACTTGTGGCCACATTGATTAGTGTTGTGCCGTACCTGGTTTTAACATTAGATTATTGAGCAGCCTGCAGGATGATGACATTATCACGTTGGCTTTTCTAAATAGTTGACAACCAATATGTACTTGATTAATATAATTATTTTTTAATTAACGATATTCAACTCTCTCAAAGTCTAACTCACAAATAAGAACTAGGAATCCATATTTATTTTTTCCATGCCCATTATGCTGGTGGATACATGGTGTACGGCAAAGGAGAGAAGAATTTTATTTTCTTTAGTAGTAATAATATACCGAGCAAAGACTTATGATGTTTCTGTTTGACAAATGAGCTCTTATATTCCTAGGAGTACCTTAAGACTTGGTGCTATCCTCAAAAAATATAAATTTCTATACCATGAAAGTATCAAACATATTATAGCAGGTTTGGTATCATTTATTTTAGATTACCAATTAGTGTTTATTGAAAATATTTACTGACAATATATAAACTTTTAAGTGATTTAATTGTATAAATATTCTTTTGCTAAGTCAAAATAAATAAGAGTCATGCATTGCGGGTCGTTAACAAGTGGTTGGACATGTTTGGGGTTAGGGGCAAAGGACTGTTTTTGTAAAGGTCAACTCCAATTTCCTACAACATTTTCTAGTTGACTTTAGCAAAGCTAACCATTTTCGTGAGAATCTGAAATTCTTGTAATAATCATGTGTCTGACTAAAATTAAGAGACAGCCAATCCCTCTATAAATACATTTTGAACATTCCAAGTTCCAGCTTGACATATATATATATATATATCAAACTTAGAAACTCCCTTTTTGGATCTCTTTCAGTTTCCTTTCCCTTAAGCTTACATTATGATGAAGATTCAACCATGTTTTCTGTTGTTCATCACTTTGATAATCCTTTTTGGGAAGGTCCATAGATGCAGATGCAAGGAAGCAGATCATGATGATAATGAAGAAAGAATAAAAGTCAAGTTCTATTCAACGTTTTTTAGGTACTTCAAAACTATTCCTCACTATGCACAAGGCAAAAAATTGCACATAGTGTCGCGAAGATTAGTCCCTAGCGGACCAAACCCTCTTCACAATTGACCATGATGTCCAATTAGTTCCAAATCAATATTTCACCAATAAGTTCAAACAAACTCTAAATAGAGCCAGACCTAAGGGAAGGTGCTCAGTCAATCCAAACACCACTGTTATCAAGCAAAAAGAAAGAGACTTCAACTGAGATTAAGGTTTTGAAAAGGATGTTATTGTAAGTATATTATATGTGTTTGCAGTTTGTTGGTGCGAAGGTCTTCAAAAATTTACTTGTAATAAATCAAGGATCCTTGGTGATGAAGATTGGGAGTATTAGATAGACTAGAAATGTATACAATTTTTTCTGTTACAATATTTTCTATACTCATGATATCAAAATTTTCAAAAGTAGAATCCAGGTTTTTTCCTTTCTGTAAAATAGTATTGTTAGACCTTTATTACATGAGATTTTCTTTTTGATATACGATTTAATATTGAAATATATAACCAGTCTCGATAACTTTGGTTATATGTCTGTCCGAAGTATCTCGAAATTCCAATGCATATTCCTGAAATTAAATGATTGAGATTAGAAGCAAAGCAAGAAAATAGCAAGGAAAGAAAGCATAGAATTTGTTATTCTATACTCAATTAGGATCACTCTAGGAGGAAATGATCTTATATGGCTAGTTACTATTTGAATAGAAGAACATTTTTGTTTTCTCAAGTTTAGGCTCACTCAAACTTTATGCAACCCTAAATACTAATGTCGTGAATGCTTCCAATCCTCGAGTAGAAACAAACTTTAATTTTATTTTACGATCATTGGTCGAAAGAAGAAGCAAAAATGTTCAAATTTACACATCAACTATTTGTTATGGCTTAACTTTATTGATGTTTTATACTTCAATACCACACACACAAGAGGGATAATTTGTGTGATGTCTAATTTTTCGCGTGCACAAATTATAGAATGACCTGGTTATTCTATGCGTTCCTTACACTACAGTTGCAGAATAAATAATGCAGAAAGTAAGAACACAGAGATTTTTACGTGAAAAATACCCAGTTCAAAAGGTGAAAAAATCACTACCTACTACCTAGTAGTATTTTCCCCTAATACTTCACTACAACTCTGAGCCAACAACAAAGTTTACAAACTCTTGCAAACCTAAGGATTACCTCTAACCCCTGTAGCAACCAGCCACAAGCTGTTACGACTACTTCAAGTTAACTCTAACTTGAACAATGCAACTAGAGTTTACAACCTATTGCAAACCTAAGGATTAACTCTAACCCTTATAGAAACACGCCACAGGATGTTGCGACTACTTCAAGTTAACTCTAACTTGAAAGATACAACACAGGTACCTAGTACAATTTGCTTCTAAGAAAACTGAAAGTTACAACTCAAAACGCCTACTACACTTTAAATTAGAAATAAAAAAAGACACATAAAACTCTTTATGGAGCTGGTTCTTCAATCTTGTTCGTATAGCTTCAGGATCGCACTCTTAAATCTCGCAGGAATTAATGCTTTGATTCGTGCTTAACTTAAGTATGTGTGCATCACCTGTAAAAGAGAACAAAGGTGTTATTTATAAAGTTAGTACAATAAGGATTAACTAGAAGTCTAATGCTTTACTCTTACTTGGTGGAAGAGTTCTAGTTATCTTCAACTTGTAACTCTTTTATTATCTTGGATAGAGTTCTTTTCAAGTAAGGAGCCATGCTCCTTATCAAATATGCAACATTTCGTTCAGGATTATCATAAATAACCACTTATACTTATCTCTGTGCTAGCCTTTTGCTTGATCCTGCCCGTCACCTGTATACACTGTTCATGGACCTGGTTCATGCATGTATCATTTGTCAATCATAAAAACCAAAACCGCGCTCATGTCAACATTGATGATTCATTATTTTTGAGCTCACTATTGGTAAAGGAGGACTTTCAGGGAGGGAAGAGAGAAGGGAAAAAAGAGAGCGAAGGGAATTATTGGGGCCACTATGTGTGAAGGAGGACTTTGAAAGCGTGTACGTACAAGTGAAAGTCAATGTGGCTAAAAGAATAGCATAAGGAAATTAAATGGTCTAGGTAGAGGTCAGTTAATAAAGAAGGACAAATATGATACAAAATGATATTGACGAGACTATTTTAGTTGACCAATCTAAAGATTTCAATTGTCGATTTTGTAGAACTGTTGTTTCGACTCATTTTTGAAGGCTAAGACAAATATCGGGAGAATGAAGTAACAAAAGCAAACATGAGGAATGGATGTAGAAAGCAACATTATATCAAGTAGGCATTGGACAATTTTTGGTTGGATTTGTAAAAGAAAGAAAGAACTTTTAAAGTTGAAGTCTAGTAATAATATTTGAAAGTTAAAATTTTGTTAAACATGAACTTTATTTGAAAAAGAGTTTGTGAGTAATTTGTCAGTGAATTAATGATTTCATCTAAAGTCATTAAACTAATATTTCAAATACTACTATTTGATGCCACACAAATTCAAGCCCTAGGTGAAGGTGTGACTACTCTGTTTGGATGGTCAAATATTGTGCATTCATAGCCAAGCTGGCCCAGTTTGTGCCCCAGTCCCCACTAACGGAGGACGAACTAACAACAGGAAAATACAAGAAAAGAAACTATAGGAAAATAGAGCTCCATTGCACGCACTGTTAAAGTTGGAGTTTGAATTTGAAATTTATGAAAATTTTTTAAACAAATAAATTCTAAATTAATAATTTATTATATTAAATAATTTTTTAAAACAAATAAAATTTAAATTTAAGCTATTGAGTTTGATTGAACAAGTGCTTCAAATTAGCTCTGCCCACTCATAGCGGAGAAAAAGAGTAGGCCTACTTGGCTGTTGCTCAAACTACCCTCTTCAGATTAGTGGCACGCAAAAATATAAAATTTTTAATTGTTCTTTTAATTTAATTCTAATGGGACCCATTTATGCTACTTTGGATGATTCTAGACGAGCTTGGACTTTGGCGTATAGCAGCCTAATGTACTACATTTATGTCCATGCTTTAGCCCCGGTTGCTGAAATGCACGCATTTTCATTTATACTAACTTTTGCGGCTATCGTTAAAATTATATCTTAATGTACAAAATTTTATAAAGAATATCCGTTCGAATCTGAAATAGTTCAATCTTTTCAATACAACTTTAGAAATCAAATCTGAAGTTCTTCTATGTTTTAAATGCAACTTCAAAAATTCAAATATTAAGTAGTTCAATCTATTGAATGCAACTTCAGATTTCGAATCTTAAGTTCTGAAACATAAACTTGTTTTTCGAATTTCAACAATCCAATATACGATTCAATGTCCAAATCTACTCCAAATGAACTCAAATTTGAAACATAACTTTCAAATATCATAAAGAACAAATCTCAGTCATCAAAATGTCAAAACAACAACAAATTTAACAAACTCATTTTACAACTAAGAAGAACAAGAAATTCTAAGCGTAAATAAGAAGAAAAGGAAAATATATGTGTCTGAAGTTATTCAAAAATTGAATATCAATTAAACTTTTTTTGAAAAATAAGTACAAATTTAATGGATGATGCAAAACTGAACTACACATGAAAATTTTACATGCTAAAGAGTGTCAATATTGTATAGGTCAAAATTCGCCTAAGGGCACTCACGCGAAGAGTAATTTGGTCGAGGTCGACTAGTAACTAATGAGACTCATCGTCGAACAACCAATTATGGCTGAGGTCAAGAATTAGAAGGAGCAGTAACGGCTAGTTTAGTAATAGGATCTTTAAGAGAATATTTTGTTGAATATTCTTTATACTTGTGCTTTTAGGGTTAATTGGGGGAATGCCCCTATAAATAGAAAGAGAGACTCCGTGATTAAGGAGGGGAAAAAGCAGACTATCTCTGGATAAATACAAACACTTCTTTTAAAAATACATTGAATGTTTGATAACTCTAGATCTTTTCCATCATATCCAAGATTGATCCCGATATTCTTGCATTTGTCGATCATTGACCATTGTCAGAAGGATGAATTATTCACCTCATTCAATGTTGAATGAATCATTCTCCTTATTTATTTTAGTGTCATTTGTTGTGATTGAATGATTGATGTTCCTATTCCATTATTAATATCAAAATATTAAATACATACCACATTTAGCTCTTTTTCAACGTTGTTCAAACATCATCCACCTAGATCAATTATAGATCAGAAGTCATTATTACTAAATAGGTTTAACCTCTCGTCACATAAATTTAATTAGTCTTGCCAAAATTTATGATTAGACTATCATATATTTTTTGGTTAAACAAATATCACTATTTAACAACTCAATCTTTGATTAATTAATTTTTATATTTTATTTTACTATCAATAGTATGTAATTGTTTTAACATTTAATATCCAAATCACATGGAAAGATGTACTCTAATTTCTTTTCTATTATCCCTTTTCCTTTTTTGGGTAAAGACAAGCCAGTGAATAGTAAAGAAGGTAAACGAATGAGACTTGGCTTTTGACGAAATCAGAACCATGCCCCTAATTCGTTCAAAAATAAATTGGGTCCATTAAACTTGGATCTCCATTTTACTTCGTTTTGCTCTTTGATACTATACTTTTTTTCTGGAGATTTTTACAGGCTTAATCCTTTTTTGATTATTATTTAAAAAAATAGAATCATTTCTTTTTTATTCCATAAAGATTTTTTTTTTTTTTTTTTT